CTGTGATGTAATCCAACAAACATCAAATAAAGATTGCTATTGAAGTATACTGTTGTGCTCAGCCTTTCAGCATTAAAAATGTGAAAGCCAAAAAAATGTATGCCTAAATGTCCAATAATACTTTTAAAACCAAATAAAGACAAATAAATCCAAACAAACAGTCTCTAGCATTTATTTGTCATGCATAGCTTCTTATCCTTAATCCACCAGGTAAAAAGACTTGTTGCTCCTGATTATCAGTTCATAAACCACAATCTGCCACCATATGTGCATTGACTCCCACCACCTTTTATATCATGTGCTCACCTCCAGACAGATTTGTGTATAATTCAGGTCTGGATACACTTTCCGTTTCAGAGATCAGTCAAAGATCTCAACAACTGTGATACAGCAAGTGGCATTCCTCTTTAAACCATTCCATACAGTGGCAAATGCGGCATTAAAATTGCAGGATATATGACCCTTTAATAAATCAGGACTCCCTCTCCTTTTCTCTGCAAATGAGCTCACATAACAAAGGAACCCCTTATAGTGCAGCATATACCAGTATCAATTTATTTATATATATACTGCTCTTACAGTAGAGTATATTAAAATTGCATGTAAAATATAGACAGTGGAGCCATAGCTCCCACTTCACCTGGCTCCGTCCTACGCATGTCATCATGGTCAGGTGACTTCCTCAGGGGATTTAAGCACACATTTTTTAGGTTTTCACATTTTTAATGCTGAAAGGGCAGGCACAACAGCATATTTCAATAGCTTTCTTTATTTGATATTAGTTTTATTACATCACAGTGATTTATGTGCATATATGATTGCATAACACATGTATGTTTTTTTATTTTGTTTTACTTTTTAATAGTAGGCGCAGCATTGTATATTCACTTTGTCTAAAGAAAAAATCCAAATGCATGCAGCCTAAACAGTTTTAAGGTCATTGCAATTTTAATGAAGACTTGGTTATCCTTTAAAATTTTAACTTGCGCACAAAGTAACAGAAAGGAGGGAATGTGGTTAATTGTTGTGTAAATGACAGTACTGCACAGCAAGTATGCAAAAACAGATGAGCATCTAACATAAGAGACACTTCCTAGCTTTCAGAGTGATTTCATTTTACCCAGCAGCTGCCATTCAAAATTTGACTGACCTTACAGCTTTTAGTGGTAGACATAGTAACACAGATTTCAGAGTAACAGTCCAAAAGGTCTAGTACTAATACATGCAGGATGATGATCAGGTCATTATTCTATGATGATAAGCCATTAGCTCCATATAGGCTGCCCAGGAGAATTTCAGCACACGAGAGTGCTGTATACACACAGGAATTCAAACTTCCATTAGCCAGGCATTACAATAAATAGGTGATAATGTGGAAAGCTTAGGTTTCAGGCCACAGTAAAATAAGATGCATGCAGGAAAAAAACCCACTTAAAGTGAACCTGTCACCAATTTTAAAAATTTCAAACTTAAAATCCCTGCCAAAAAGCAAGCATCCCCAACTGCCTGCTTATACCTATATGGGTTAGAAAACTCTTGTATGTGTGCCCCTTTTGTGTTACTAAGGCCACACTCCCCAGGCAGCTTGGCTAAAGCTAGCTATACACATGTAGATTTCTCTCATTCAGCTTCCCACAACAGAAATTGGTTCATTCCCCTATCCATTCTAAACAACATGGATAGAGGAATCTCCACTACTAACTATTGTAATCAGAAAGCCAAAGCACCCGTGGCTGCCTGTATACATGAACAATGACTGCTAATACTACTGATTCTAATAGTAGTCCTCACTACAGCTAATTTTGGCTGGAAGGCTGTAGTTCCTCACTTTTTTGTAAAATATGATTTGCTTAGGCTATCCACCCTAGTTTTTGGTCTATCATATGTTGTTTGGCTGCCATGTTAATGTCAGGAATATGAAAAAATGATATCACACTTAATTTTCCTTTCCTAGCACCAATCCATAGCAGCTTATGAAGTCCATCTTGCTTATTCCTAGTGTTTTAAAGGAAATGGACTTTGGTGTGGGTTTTAACACTTTTTAGCTTTAAACTGGTCTTGTGGGCAGTAGTAGGTGGGGCAAATACCACATGTATGCTGTCAAGGATTGGCGCCTGTAAAGGAAACTTACAAGGTACAAATTTCTGGTTTTGTTTAGTCAGGTGACCCAGACAGGGCCTCCCTGGCTTTAAATGTGTCTGATTCCTGCTGAATGAATGTGTGATCAGCTTAAAGTGGAACTAAACCCTCCTTTCCCTTTATCAGCCATGCTTAATAAAATATATAGGCATATTTCTAAAGACTGCAAAATACACTATATTGCCAAAAGTATTGGAACGCCTGCCTTTACACGCAAATGGACTTTAATGGCATCCCAGTCTTACTCCGTAGGATTCAATTTTGAGTTGGCCCACCCTTGGCTGCTATAACAGCATCAACTCTTCTGGGAAGGCTGTCCCCAATCTGTGCCCACAAAGTTGGGAGCATGAAATTGTCCAAAATAAACTTGGTATGCTGATGCCTTAATATTTCCCTTCAGTGGAACTAGGGGCCAAGCCTAGCCCCTGAAAAATAATCCCACACCATAATCCCCCCTACATTAAACTTTACACTTGGCACAATGCAGTCAGGAAAGTATCATTCTCCTTGCAATCGCCGAACCCAGACACGTCCATCGGATTGCAAGATAGAGAAGGGTGATTTGTCACTCCAGAGAACATGTCTCCACTGCTCTAGAGTCCAGTGGTGGCATGCTCTACACCACTGCATTCGACACTTTGCATTGTACTTGGTGATGTAAGGCTTTTATGCAGCTTCTCGGCCATGGAAACCCATTCCATGAAGCTCTCTATGCATTGTTGTTGTGCTAATCTGAAGACAACATGATGTTTGGAGGTTTTTAGCTATTGACTCTGCACTCAGTTGGTGACTTCTGCGCACTGTGCGCTTCAGCACATGCTGACCCTGCTCTGTCATTTTACGTGGCCTACCACTTCGTGGCTGAGTTGCTGTTGTTCCCAGTTGCTTCCACTTTGTTATAATACCTCTAACAGTTGACCGTGGAATATTTAGTAACAAGGAAATTTCAAGAATGGACTTATTGCAGAGGTGGCAACCTATCACTGTACCACGCTTGAATTCTTTGAGCTCCTGAGAGCGACCCATTCTTTCACAAATGTTTGGAGCAGTCTGCATGCCTAGGTGCTTGATGTTATACACCTGTGGCCATGAAGGTGATTGGAAACCTGAATCCAATGATTTGGAGGGGTGTCCCAATACGTTTTGGCAAAATAGTGTATGCTTGATTGTTCATTGCTTTACTTTTTCTTGGCTATTCCAAAGTGCATTGTTTATGTGAATATTTATGTTTATGAAAGTAACCATATTTTGTATGTACGAAGTTGAAAAGTAAAACAGTATCTTTGTGCTTGTTTGCAATTTTTTTTTTAATCCAGTCTACATCAAGGTTTACTCCAGCCTACTCTAGATTTATAAAAACTGGGGGGTGCAAAATCTGGTGCAGCTGTGCATGGGAGCCAATCAGCGTCTAACTGTAGCTTGTTCAATTAAGCTTTGACAAAAAACCTGGAAGCTGATTGGATTCTATGCAGAGCTGCACCAGATTTTGCACTCTTCAGCTTTAATAAATAAACTCCTATGTGTCACATGACATGCATTGGAAAAAAAGACAAACAAGGACCGCCCACTCTCTCTCCTCTCTCCTCCCTAGGAGACACCCTTCTACAGCCAGTTACAACATTGCATTCCCCACATAGAGACAATACAGTAAAATTAAAGTTGGGAGCTTAAAGTGTATGTCATCCAACATTGCCATGTTCCTGATAGGTGTCTGTTGTATCATGTACTTATATTATAACGTTTCCTGTTCTTTTTGTATCTCTTCCTTTATGTGAAATACTTGGTGATTTTGTCAGTTCTACAACTTTTCAATTTCAAACTGAGCACACTAAGCATAGAAGCACATACTTCCCAGTGTGGTCAGTTTTCTGGATGTGCTCGGAGCGCAGCTTGTCTGTCCTCCAATGGCAAAGACTGGTGCTGACATGCACAGCATTTTACTGGGAAGATAAGTGTATAAGTGTACAGCACTCCCCCACAAAGAAAAAAAAACAACATTAAAAAGGTATTATATACAATATATACTCTATATACACAAATGTTTTGCATTGCTTTTCTATTTTACACTGAATGGGTATATGTATATATTGGGAGGGTTCACATACACTTTAAAGACGAATCAACCCCCCCTATCGTTTTCAGTCAAGGAAGCTGCCATCTTAGTCTCCGTTTGATCTTCAACTGCCATGATGCTGCACATGTGATAAGTTATGGCTCCAGCCATTTGATGGATTGACAGTTTAGTTGAGAGCACAAGCAAATATGACAATTAATAAACACATTAATCTTTCAATCTATCATCTGTTCGGCAGAAGTTTTCCAACCTTCTCCTTCAAATTTTTGGCTCAAAAAAGTCAATCAATTTTATATTTGTGCCCATTAACAGGACGAAAAACAAAATTAACTGTCCAAATGATGGATTTCTGAACAATTTATTGTCTAGTGTATGGCCACAATTACATTCCCAGCACACCCCAAAAATGTGACTGTTTTTTGCAACTGTTAAATTGATGGGTTTAGTTTCATTTTAAAATGTATGCAATTAACTTCTCTTGTTTGCTCTATTTTGATCTGTTAAATATACAACTGAAAGAATTTAGTTAAGGCTGAGTGAATGCAGTAAAATACAAAGCTCCCTCTAGTGGGTAATCCACAAATCTCTATTATTAATAGAGTAACAAAAAATTAATTAGCGCAAGCATAATAAATATTAAAAATTGAATTAAGTCTAACTCCGAACAATAACTCAAAAAGTGCAGTCAATGAAAAAGACAATAGTTTCCACTGAATGTTTTAAATAGCAATTATACTGTCAGTATCTATTCTCTTATTGTGATAAAATACATGGAAAGAATACCAACCTTTAACTCTGCCACCATCTGTTCAGCTTCTGCAGTCAGCCTTGGTTGGTCACACGTAACTTTTCTTGCCTGTTCCCTTGTACAGTCTTGTTAAGGCAAATCTTTGTCAGTTCATTTACAAGTCTCCACTCTGTGTGTACAGGCTACAATACATTTAAGCATTATCCTCATACTTATTACATTAAAAAAATGAAATGAACTGCACATGTTTTTTTTTTTAGTGCTAACAAAGAACTTTTTTACTTGCTCCTCTTTGGTCTGTTAAAGCCTAAAATTGGGTACACACATCCTGCTGAACTGGCCGACTTTCAGCCTGTGTGCACTCCTCTCTGTTCAATAGAAGCTGATCTAACAACCAGCTTTTGTCGAACAATCATGCTGGAAACCCAGCATTGAATCAGTGCTTGCAGCCAATAGTTGTCCTGGCTGTCAGAATACAATAGTGCGGCAGGTGAGATCCCTGCATCCACATTGCTTGTGTGGATGCGGGAATCTGTCAGGTTTTTTTTTTTCATTCAACACGCTGGTTGAATGAAAAAAAAAAAAAACTGTGCATGTATAATCCTGTTATAGCTAAAAAATAAATAAATAATCAGCACAAAGAAAATTACCTTTAATAGGATTCGGCCCCCTTGTACTGCTGTGTCCTCCTTTAGCTGAAATCTTCCTCAGTGCTTACCCCCCCCCCCCCATCCCCGCAGGCATAATCTTCTGGTGTGATGGGGGTTAATACAGCTAAAGGGGCTGTCACAGGCTCTCATTAAGAGAACATGACTATCCCTCACCCGCCTAGCTGCTCCATTCATAGAAGCCATACTACAGCTTCTATAAATTAAACAGAATCTCTAAATTGCTTTCCATTCATAGAAGCTGTATAATGGCTTCTATGAATACAACAGGAGGGAAGAGCAGGCAGAGCCAGGTTCTCTTGATGACAGCCCCTTAGTGGTTATAACCCCCCCCCAACACACAAGAGGATTACGGTGGAGGAGGTGGGGTGAGGTGAGACATCAGAGGAGGAAGATTTAATCTAAAGGAGGACACAGAAGCACAAGGGACATATCCTACTGAAGGTAATTAACGTCCCTTGTGCTGATTTTTTATTTATTTTTTTAGTTATGCTTAAGCAGGCCCTACATGGATTGAAATGCCGCTTCAGCAGGGAGGTTAGGCAGGCTGGTTGTACAGAAGTCAATCTATCGATAAACTTGAGTACAACATGCCTGTTGGAAAATTATCTTTCGATCAGTGCTGCCGGCTATAGCTGGCGATGCAGATGAGTGTATTCTGGCGGCGGGGAAATCTCCCTGCTGTCAAAATACAAAGGCTCGTTTTCTTTGAACGAAAGAAAACGACACATGTCAACGGCCAGCTATACTTACACGCTCTGTGCAATGGTATTGCAGAAAGAGGTCCTTTACCTCTTCTTTGGTGGCCCCCTGACGTAGCTGTCCACTCTTTCTTCTTCCAAGTACCCCCCATACCAAGCTGTGTGCTATGGGGGCACTTTTGCGAGTGTGCTCCCAAACCAGGTTGTGTTTGTCCATAGACACACACAGTGTTGCTCAGCCACACCCCCCACTATCTCCTCACAAGATATGACTGCCAGCAGCAGAAGCCAATGGCTTCTGCGACTCTCAGTGTACCCTGTGCATTGAGAAAGAGAGTGCAGTACTGCTGCAGTGGGGGACAGCGCTGGAGTGTGAGAGAACTTGGGTAAATGTTTGGAGGTGGGGGTACAGAAAAACATAGTGGGCCTTTTTATTATCATAAAGCAGTATTAAATTCAAAAACATTTATTATATTGCAGCTTACCAATTCTTAGATGTGATGGCTGCATTAGTTTTATATTTAAAGCTTTCTTAACTTTATTTTCACCTAGTAATCCTGCCAGAGAGTCTGTTGTTTTTCAACAGAACAAGCAGTCCTGCAAATGTAGCAGTTTGATTGTTGAGAAAAAACATTTACCACTGAAAGGGGTGCTTACATTGATCAGTTTTTATTTATTTAAGTAGAACCTTTATCCCAAAAGGAAACATCAGTTACTGTAATTGATTATAACGTGGTGTGAGCTTGAGTTTGGCTTCAATTTGTTAGTGTTTCTAAATCTGCTAGTACCAACACTGCCCTCCGCCCAAACTGAGAATGCTGATTTCTGCTGTGCCCACTGTGCTACTTTATCCAGAGAGGGGGTGCTCTAACACAGGGGGTTCATTACAGGTCACCAGGTGAAAACAGAGGAAAAAAGGCAAAAAAAAAGAAAACTAATGCAGCTGCCATGCCCAATGATTGGTAAGCTGCAATAAATTAAATTTTTTGGTTTAGCGTTTAATATATCTTTAATTCAGGGAATGCATTAAGGGGAAAAAATGTTGCTTTTATGTTTCATTGAAAGTGTTTTGGAATATCTGCTCAATAAGTTCATTAAGTTATGGGAAGGTGTATTCTAGTCCCAGCACACTTCCTGTCCTAGGATGCCAAGGTTTCCCCTACATAGATGCAGTACAGTGAGTGAGTCTCGGTTCACACTACTGCTACCTGAGAGTTATGTGACTTGCAGTGCAACTTTGCCAGGAAACTTGAGTACTACTTTGAAGCAACTCTGAAGCAACTTTCAGGGAATGGCTGGGTAATCTTCCTGTAATGTTGGATACAAATCACATCAATATAGATAAGGATCCGACTTGGGGACAACTTCTATTATAGTCTATGGGCACAAGTCGGATAGAAATCGCCTTGAAGTAATACAAGAACCTTTTTCTAAAGTCGGAGCCACTTCAGTAGTGCTAATTAAGACAGCTCTCATTGACTAACATGGGATTTCACATGTCATGTGACTTGGGGTCTCACAAATCGGATCCCAAGTCGCGGCAGTGTGAACCGAGCCTTAGTGTCCTCACACTAGGACAGGAAATGTGTTAATGGCAGGATTACCAGGAAAAAAAAAAGGGAAACAGCCTGAAAAAAGAAAAAATAATGCAGCCATCACATCTAAGGGCCGGTAAGCTACAATACACAAAATTTTTTTCTTGGTTTAGATACACCTTAAAACACACTTATATAATGGCCCATTTTAGTACACTGACTAACTCTGGTCACTTATGTGTAATCTTTAGAACTGGAGAGTGGCTGTATAGAGGAGTCATAAGATGCTCTGTAGGTCAAGTAATATACAGTAATCTCTGTTCTCTGCAGACTCGTACAGAGTGGAAGCAATGGGTATAAAGCAAACAATCCATCTCAAAAGGTATGGCCAAGCCTTAGTATTTATTTCTATGATCTCATAACAAGGATGGAGAAAAATAGGAAGAGCCTGCATGAAAAGGCCTCTGTTGCTAGGACAGTGTAAATGCTAAATATGATCATCTAACGGAGCTTCCTCTAGTGAAGAAGATATCACCTCACGGTAAGCAGTGCAAAGGCTGATGTAAATATTTTCTACATCTCTGTATACATCCATTTGAACCTATTCACTGCTTGCTCACCTTATCCTGTGCAATATGCATGATGAATAGAGAAATAATGCTTTGGTATGCAAATGATTCCTGAAGAAGCTGTGCACTGGATAATGCATATTTAGTAGCACCTGAAGCATATACAACAGCAGCATAATGAAGAGGAAGGCAGTAAAGTGCTTTAAATATGAAGACCAGGTGCAGGAACGTACATGAGATCATTCACGCCTGTTATTCATTCTTACTATCCACAAAACCAATGATGTCACAGGAGCATTTCATACAAAAATTATTTTCTTTAGAGGAAGGTGTTTCAAACTTTTTTTATTGTTAATACTGTTTTTTATTTATATCTCCATTTATGAGGATCGTGCACCTGTACAGCAGGTCTGGTGATGTAGGATTAGGGGTTTCACCATTAACAAGCAATCTACTGCTTTTACTCCAGCCTTTCCCTACCCTTTACCTATGAAAGAGTACTTGAAAAGAATTTAATCTGTCAAGGAACTCCTTCAAAAATTAATATATTTACAGTTCATTGTACATTAGTGTAATCAGTGGGTTGTAGGTAAAAGAAAAAAAAAAAATAATATAACATATTTAGTTTATTAGATACCCTGATCAGATAATTGTAACATTCTCCCTCTGTAACAAAATAACTTTTAGCAATCATGAAATGAAGAATACAAATGGTCAGAAGACACACAAAGTGAAAATTGTAGTTTCCTTTGACATAGGTTGTCTGCGGAGAAATGCTCTCTTACATTATGATCACCGTAGTGCTCCCGTTCATTGGTGGTCAGTATAATGCTCCTTCACATCGGTGCTCGGTGGAGATGCCAGCCTGCCATATAGGGGACATTCACGGCATATGGGACCCCAAGCACCCTGAAAGAAATGTGGGGCAGGTGACTTAGGTGACCGCATTAACACACCCCTGCCAGGCAGGTTAGTGGGGCCAAGTGCCAGAACTTGTTCTAATACTGGGCTCGGGACAGAGGAAGGGGACGGAGGATTTGTGTTTGAAGGGGGAGAGTTTGTACTAAGAGGGTGGATGGGAGGATTTGTGTTAGTACTGGGGAGAGGATTCGTGCTGGTGTGGGGGATTTCGGGGAAGGAGGAATCGTGCTGCAGAAGATTGGGGGGAAGGGAGGATTTGTTCCGAGATGGGGAGGGGGGAGTCATGCTGCGAGGAGGGATTGGGTGGAGAAGTATTTGCACTGGGGGGGGTTTTAAAGAGGGGGAAGAAGGGTTTGTGCTGATATGAGAATGGGGGAGGATTTGTGCTAGCAGTGGGGAATGGATTTGTGCTGGGAGGTGGGATTTGGAGAAAGGGGGATTTGTGCTGGAATGAGAAGTTATGCTGGGGAAGGGGATGTGGAGGGTGGAAGAATATTTGCACTGGGAGGTGGAAATTTAGAGGGTAGAAGGGGATTTGTGCTTGGAATGGGGATTTTATGGAGAGGATTTGTGCTAGAAATTGGGAAAAGGATTTACCGGGTGGCGGGGGGGGGGGGGGGGGGGGCAGTGATTTGTGTTATAAGGGGGATTTGGGAGAGAGGTTGTGCTTGAAAAGAAAGAGGGGAGGATTTTTGCTGGGAAATGAAATCTGGGGAGAATTTGT